AGTCCAAGGCCAGATGCAGGGCTTTGTCTTTATAATATGGATTTGTGAGGGAATATTTAACCCATTGTGCAATACTGCCGATTGTGACTGGCTCTGTGGCCACAATTCATTTACAAGTAAAACAATGTTTTTATGGTATCTTCTGTATGTTGGCATCTATAAAGGGATAGGAAACCTGTTTGGAAAGGTTATGCAACACATGAGGAAAATTCAAGTTCAAGTTTTAGCTACTTCTGGTTAACAACCACATACAAAGAATGTGAAGGTTTGAATAATTCTTCAGGGCTTTCCTTATGTGATAACCCAGCTCAGGGAAGGATGAGTTGGGTTGACCTGTTCTATTGGCCTTTACCTTGAGAATCAGAGGTTATTTAAAAGGAATYAGGGGTTTGAGGAAGAGTGAAGAAAGAGGACAGCCCCCCTGAGGCCAGACAATTGTTACCATACTGAGTGGGGTGTACATTCTAGGCAGAGTTGGTAACTACCACAAATATTGGTGAACATGTTATCAGATGCACTCACTGCGTATCACAATTGTACAGATACATTTTCTAGTTCCCCAAAGCAAAGGGTATCACAGAGGTATTTATCTGCCTCATGAGAGAAGTGGTTTTTTTTTGTTCTTTTTTTTTTTGGTTTGTTTATTTTTTAATCATGTACACGGAGTTATTTAAATTTTCCTGATACAATCTTGTAGAACTTGAAGCAAAATGAAGAAACTTTGGCTCATAAACCTGGCAAATACTTCCTTCAAATGCTACAGAGAAGTTCAATAGGACTATTTTCAAATTATTTGTGAGTCATAAGCGTGGTAGAGTTTCAAAGGAATTAATACATTGATTTATGATGTGGCTAATTTTCCATTTAAGTGTAGTAGATCATAATGAATACAAATATATTTCAAATATTTCCTAAATGTCAATTAAGAGCCTACCTTTTTTCTAGGTGCTATAGATACAAAGGTAGAATTGGTGCATCTGTTCATGGAGGTTCATGTTCATCCTAGTTGAAGGATTTAAATGGCATAATACAGGATTCTCAGTTATCTCCCCTTCAAAATTATCATCTCAAAAGTTGTCACCCATGGCACTTTCTGCAACTCCTTTCATTTTATACATCCTAATTAATTTGACGTATCTACAGTCCTGTTATATGGAAGAGAAATAATCTTCATGAGGCAAGAAAAGTAAATTAAACATCTCTTAATAAAGAGTCTGCTACATTTCACAGGCAGGCCAAACTCCTCTTTTACATTCCCATCACATTCTTGAACTTCTCTACCCTTAATTATTAGCAATACGCACTTCATCACAGCTTTAAGAGAGCCAACAAAGTCGGTTTGATATAATTGTAAAAATCCCAGAAGTATGACATGGAAAAAATCCAGAATTCATAAGATGATTTATTACAGCTCTGTGATTTTGTAAATGTGGAAAATGAAATCCCAGAGGGTTCCAAGGTCATGGTTAGCTAGTGATCAAGTTTATAGGATGAAGACCCCTATGGTCTTATACCCTGCCCCAGGTTTTTCTTTGGTTTCCCATCAGTGGATGCGATAAGGGAACTCAAACAAACTTTTCCAATTCAGATACTCTGTGTACCAAAAATAAATTACACAGGACATGCGTCTAAGGAAGAGTCATACTGTTTTTAAAAATATTTTGGTGCCCCTCTGTGTATCCATGTGGGTCTTTAAATTCATAAACATATAATTCTCTGGCATCAAATAGATCTATCTTTCAAGAATGTTTTCATTTACAATAAGAATTTTCTAAAATATTTTATTGATAACATTAGCACAAAGCCCAACTTCACTTAACAAACCAACTTTAATTTTATCCTAACCAGATAGAAGTTCAGAAATATGATGAGAGTAATAATCTCAACAACTCTGTTCAACTGCCTTGGGGTGTGCCAAGCCCTGTAGGGTGTTCCAGGCATWCTTGTTTAATCCTGTGAGGTAGACRTCATCATTTTATTTCCAAGGGGACAGGCTTGAGGTTTCATCCTGGAATTTCACTTCTTGGAACTTTTCTTAACCAAGATTGTAGCACAGTTGAGACATTACAGACTCAGAAATTGAATCTCCACCTGGTGCAAATAAAAAGTCTGCATCAATACGTGATCATACGACCTTCCCCAATTTTGAATTCCAAAATCTTATTTGCTGTTTAGTTGTTTTATTAGATACATGTACACAATGAGAAATGGTAYGAAGTCTATTGATCCATACAGTAGCCTCGGTCATATAGTTTGACATATTGCATTTTTACAAATCTTAGGAACCRAAGCATTTATGTCATTATTTTTAACTGAAATGAAAGTGGTAAAACTGGAACTGTATGTGGCTGTCATTTTTTTTGAGCTCATCCCAGTCCTCTAATCACAATTCTGAACACCCCATCTTCATCCCCAAGAGCCTGGCTTGCCATATGGTGAAAGGAGCTACATAAACTTACCCTACCCATGCTGACAGCCACACCACCTCATGGCATGAGACACTCCTCAGGACTCCTGTTCCATCACTGGACTAATCCATATGCTAGTGTACAGGTTCCTAGCTTAATTGCCTGCTTGTCTTCTGTAATAGGCCCAGCCTATTTCTCAGACTTCCCCACTATTAGCTTCCAACTTAATTAAGGGCCTGTGAAGCACCCTTAAGGCATGACCCCAAGTTACTTGTTCTTTATAATTCTAATTCTAGAACAGCCAGCACTTTTAGAATCATTTCTATAAAGAACAACTTCTTTTTATTCTCTCTTAAAATTTTTTACCTGATGCATAATAACTGTACATATTCATGAAGTACAGCCAGATATTTGCATGCATGTATACATTGTGTAATGATGGAATTACCATGATTAACATTATCACCTTAAACTTTTATCATTCCTTTGTATTTAGTATACTCAAAACCTTCTCTTCCAGCTATTTTGCAGTATACAATAAATTATTAAGTAGAGTCATTCTACTGTGGTTGGGTGCCAGAATATAATCTTCCCTGACTGCATTTTGTACCTATTATTCAATCCTCTCTGTCCGCTTCTCCCCTTCACTTTACATACCTGTAAATGTATGTGTTCATTTTCATGGAGTGCAAAGCCAATGCAGTCTGTTTCTTCCACTTGTGTAGACTATTTAACATATTTAATAAATGTGTATATATATATTTTTTTCTTTCACATTTCTTCTATATGCAGGATTTTATTAAGCAGACTACCAGAATTATTTGTTCACTGAGTAACAGTGAAGTTACAAGGAAGTGAGGTTGAGATGTGGAAAACTTACAGTGTTAGGGTAGGCTGTTTTCTGCTGTAAGAGGAAGATACCTTTTGGCTTCATATTCATTTTTTTTTTAATGGGGAAGAAGGGCTACTGGGGATTGAACCCAATGGCAGTTTACCATTGAGCTACATCTCCATCCCTTTTGATTGTTTTAAGACAGTGTCTCACTAATCTGATGAGAGCCTTGCTAAGTTATTGAGGCTGGCCTCGAATTTGCAGTCCTCTTGCCTCAGCCTTCCTATTTTATGGGATTGTAGGTATGTGCCACTGCACCCTGTTGGCATCATTTTCTTAAGACTGTATCTTCTCTCTCAAACCATGCATGCCTATGTGTGTGCGCATGCACACACACACACACACACACACACACACACGTGATATTCCTTTGCTTTAATCACCTCACTGTGGACTTATTTTTAGAAAGTAAAATGAGTTCACAAAACAAGGTGAAACATAATGATTTAATTTGTGTAATGATGGAATTATCATGATTAACATAGTACCAACTTAAACTTTTATCATTCCTTTGTATTTAGAATATTCAAAACCCTCTCTTCCAGCTATTTTGCAGTATACAATAAATAAATAAAGTGTGTTGTATTTTGAGGGAATGTATGGAAGTYTATAAGTGATTTTGTGTTCCTTACATAATCAGAATTCTGTGACTGTAATTCATATACATCAGAATAAACAGACTTTTCCAGGCCCACTGTGGAACCTTCTGGGTGCAAGGCAGTGATGGATGGGTCTCACAGTACAGTTGGGTTTTCTAAAACATCCATTGATGAATAYGATAAGATCCATAAATGATTATGGAGAAGGCCCTACTGTGCACGTAGCATGCTTCCCAATGTTCAATAAATATGTGTATAATTGCAGATGACTACAGCGAGGCYGCCACACTTCATATGCTCTGCAGCATACATGACAATGGGTCTGAGGGTGGAAAATGGAAACTGCTGAGTTTTTCAGCTGATCACAATCAAATCAGAACACATCAAAACAGCTGGTGTTCTGTGACTCAGAATCAATCAACCAGTTTCGAATCACCTCATCTTCCTTTATTTCTCTTTACAGTTTCACTGAGAGGTTTAAACCAGCATATGTCCTTCCCATTTGGTTAGATCCCTGCTCTGAGCCTCTTTGCTTTCACATTCTAATACTGAAACTGACTGCAGTATTAGAACAAAAAAGAAGAAGAAAAAGAAGAAAAGGCTAATATTAAAATGATTTCTAAAATGCTGCTGCTACTACATTTGTGTAAATTAAACCATATGCTCAAGTAAAATGCCCTAGAATAAACATGAARTTTTAAGGTCGTGTTTTGGAATGAAGATAATTCTGCATCAGCAATATTTATGTGACAGATATGGCAAGAGTTATAATAATTTTCTAAGTATCCAGTTAATATTKTAATATTCTACACATGATAATATCATGGGACTTCAATATTGAGTTAGTGAATGAAAGTTCAATGTTTCTTGGTTTTGACACAGACTCTTCTCTTTGTCCCRACAGGTACCTATTACACCATTCCTTGGCAAAGACTTTTCAGCAGTGGTGACCTCTTCCAATCCAACACTCTACAAATTATTATCTCTGGACTCCCAGCTGACACCCTGCCGGAGGCAAGAGCTCCTAAGCCAACTGGAACTGTGCCTCTTCTCTTGTCAAGGTTTTTTTCCTACACAGGAAAAAGAAAGAAAAAAAAAAAGATGAAGTTGGGTAAAGTGGAGTTCTGCCATTTCCTGCAGCTCATAGCTCTTTTCCTGTGTTTTTCTGGGATGAGTCAAGCAGAACTCTCAAGGTCAAGATCCAAACCCTAYTTCCAATCAGGGCGCTCCAGGACCAAGCGCAGCTGGGTGTGGAATCAGTTCTTTGTGCTGGAAGAGTATATGGGTTCGGACCCTCTCTATGTAGGAAAGGTAGGGTATCTAACTTTCAAAATTTTAAAGGATTATTGTCAATGGCTATGGTTTGAGTAATMACTCCTAGTTTTTTGATTTTGGAAAGGTCAATGCAAATCATTACTTTTATGAGACAGTGTATGAAGTTTTGTTATTAGCAACTATGAGGTGTAATCAGGGTTATTAAGTTCAGTGAAGCCATAATTTAAGGATTGATGCTCTGTTCCTAAATACAGATGAGGAGTGCCAGAGGCCTGGTTTACCCTGATGCTAAACTCATTGCCAATGTCAGAACAAGAACGTTCAGTATTCAAGGAAGAGCACTGTGTTCTTTTGCCAAGTGATTTTCTAGCTGCTTCTTTTGGGATACTGTGTAAATATTGCACATACTTGCATTAATGCTTCTATCGAATTCCTGGTACCTGCAGTTCAGAAACTGAAAAGTACCATTATCAAACCTAGTTACTCCAAATTATSAGCAACTCAAGGCCATTTCCATTAACAATCTTGTCTTCATGGTTCTAGGATTTTTTTCCCCCACAGCTTCCTTCCATCTAGGAGACTTTTCTTTGGGGTCCTACTGAACTGGAAAGCCCTTCAAGAGAGCATGACCTTTCCCTAAGCATCCTCAGATCATAGTTCCCAGTCTTTTTAAGTTTGTCAAGATTTCTGAGTTTGATGTTTAGCACTGATGAAAGGCTTCTAAGTAGGGCATATCAGCAAGAAATCTATACCTCTGTGTTTCTACTCTTCACTTTGTCAGTTATATGATTCTGTTCCTCATAAAAGGAAGCACAGATGATGGATGAACTTTTCTATAAATCAATTTCTCAACTTTAAAAGATTGAGGAGGAATCTTGGTTATTTATTTTGTGGGTTATTTTCCATTTGTGTATACCTTAAGAAAGAGTTAAAATATTTTTATTGATGGCCATCCACAAAATTAAAGGTATTCCTTATTTTATGCGTGCGCATGCGCGCGCGCGCACACACACACACACACACACAAATTTTTCTTGCAGTGCCTTTGTATTACCAATACTGACTGGTACACATTGTAAGCAAAAGGATTTAAATAGATTAATGGTTTCTAGGTTTGTGGATTTGGATTATTGAGGATCAGAAGTAACGTTTTCCTATGCTATGAAAGCGTGTATAAATGCACTTATCTTTTTTTTTGTATCCATTCTCCTTTATCAATGGCACTGTCATCTATATTGTATATGTGCTAAGTTTCCTCACTCTATTATCTTTTAACTCGTTTTATTATTTAAAATGAGAGAGAAGTTATAATGCCATGTGACTGACAAAGAATCCAGATCTTAATCTCATTCACTTTARTGGAATTTAACCAATTCATCAAGCTTTCGTCAATGGATAGATCTGAAATATTTAGCTCATTTATAAAGTGTCAGTAGCTATTAGGTGAATGAAGCCATGTTTTGTGACAATGTAAAAATTTTAAAACAGAAAAAGTATGTCCATTAATTTGGTTTAAATGGAGTTGTTTGGGCTAGGCCAACATTTAAAACTCAACACAATTTTTAAAATTTTAAAGTGTCTTTTTAAATTTTTCATTTATGCATAATAATTCAGAGTGTTTATATCCAAATAATATCTAGAAGTCAATTTAATAAACATCTTGGTTTAAGTTCCAAATGTACATGAAGTTATGGAGCAATTCATTTGTTATTTTTTAAAAAGAAATTGTATGATTCTTTAGTTAGGTAATCAGAGAAGATGCCTTAACAGATTTATTTTATAAAGAGAGAGAGAGAGAGAGAGAGAGAGAGAGAGAGAGAGAGAGAGAGAGAGAATTTTTTTTAATATTTATATTTATTTTTTCCAGTTTTCAGTGGACACAACATCTTTATTTTATTTTATGTGGTGCTGAGGATCGAACCCAGCSCCCCTCGCATGCCAGGCGAGTGTGTTACCACTTGAGACACATCCCCAGCCCAACCTTAACAGATTTTATCTGACAGAAAATTAAGATTGTGTTTATGCTTTGTATGGGGAGTTCAGTACCGCCATTCACAGTGAAATGTTTAGGATGGAAATGGGCAAAATAAAAACAACTTTCTTCATTGACTAAAATGCAGAAAAAGGGAAACAGAATAATTGGGGATGGAGAGAGGTTTTATAGACCAGTGAGATGAATACAGGGCCTTACAGTGACAGTTTCTATTTTCTTATAAAATGGTGACATAGAACTTGAGTACTTTAGAAGCATTAACGCAAGTATGAGCAATACTTACACAGTATCCCAGAAGAAGAAGCTAAGAAAATAAAGGAGTTCTTTTGAGGTTGGTGGTCTGAATCATCAGAGGGACAGCTCTGATCACTTGTTTATATAAAATGGGTATGTTTCTGTTGTTTGTTTGGCTGAGGGAGGTGATGGCTATGACCACAAGTGTTTATAGGACAGAAAACTAAGTATTGTAGATCAAGATGTGGAGCAGGAGCCAGGCAGAGCATCATGGAAACTRAAGAAGAAACCTAAGTGGTACTTTCCACTGATGTACATTTAACCTAAGCTAGTTAGATGGCCGCCCACTTGGTCATCCAGACAAGATCTATCTATTTAGGTGCTTTGGATGATGTTAGTACTAACTTCAATAAGACATATCAACTATATGTCTTATARTTCAATTTGATGACATTACATATATTTACAATGTAAATTGAATTGATAAAGTGTTATTGCTGGCTCTGCCACTTCCTACTATTGTATAACTTTGCCTAAGTTGCCTAATGTTACTGAATTTTAATTTCCTCAGTTCTAAAGTGAGGATGTTCATATCTACTATTCAGTTGTTACTTAATAACTGAAGTAAAATATGTGAAATATGCATCCAACTAATCTAGATATTATATTTTCTACTTTACTAAATATTGATTATAAATTAACAGTTATGGATAATTCAGTCTGTCATGTGTCAGTTGTTAAATGTGTRATCCCTTCAGTGAATGCAGGCATGATTTGAGGTATTATTCCAGCTAATTAGAAGAATGGTCTGTTTTGGTTATGCTAAGGAATGCAGTAATCAAGTGTTTATTTATTTGTGTATTTTTAGATCTTCAAATTTGGAGTCAATATTAATAGCTGTGGCAAACAAGATCAGATAAATGACTGTACAGTTAATAAASCTGGGTCATTAAGGTATTGAGGTCAATGAGATCACAATATGTATTTTGAGTTTATTATTTTATCTAATGTCCTGGGTTGGCATGACACGTGATAACCCAAGCCCAAAGCAGAACAATCCATTGAATGGGGCCAGAAATACAAAGTGAGAACCAGCCTTGGCAGAGACTTATGGACTGAGTTAGACTCTATGATGTCATCTTTCCTTTAGCCTTCCACCCTTTCTTTCGCTATAGACTGGTAAACTGTTGACCCTAAATGTACAGACTAAAGGAAAGAGTTTTACAAGTTCCCATGATTGAGTTCTGTTTGAATGATCAGTAGAGCCCCATTTGCTCAATTCTTAATGACTGTCTTGCTTGTTCTCCTGTTTTTATCTGGGGATAGGGAACCAAGGTGCCTCTTATCTGTCTGGGAGTGTGTCCATTSTCTCTGATCTGCTATTTGCAGTCCAAGAGGCCACAGTTTCCACCCACCTCATTGCATGAGTGTGCCCTTTCCCATCCCAGTCTTTCCCTCATCTTGGCATTTCTCACTTAGCGTCCCCTCACCGTCTGACACAACTATCTATCTCCAAAACCACCCAGCCTCTGTTCCAGGTACGAAGTAGTTTTCATCTTTGTTCACCATGGGCTTCCAGCCCATGGCTACGCCCGAGGCCATTACTTTCACTGAGATGTGTGCTCTGTGCCTCTTCCGCAGTCTGCTTTCCTCGCCATTAATATCATTCTTGCCTTTTTTTTTTCTTCTATTTCCCTTTCTTCCCTACTCATTCAAGGAGAATTTATATCTATTACTACAGCAGAAATCAAATACCTAGAAATGCAATGTTCAGGGTTTACTTTCTTTTAAATCGACGCTTGCCTGAAAACGTTGGTGAGCGTTTTCAATGCATTTCATTACAAGCCAGCAGTCTCTCTCACCAAGAGGTTCTCCATCTCCTGATATCTGAAGCTGTGTTCAGTGTTCCGGAAAAGAAATCTTCATCATGAAAATAGGCTGTGTTAAAAAAATTGAATTACAGATTAGATTTCTTTAGCTGGCAAATGTTATATTAGATGCACAAAAAAGAAAATAATAAATCCCAAGTATTAATTACTTAGGGAAAAAACAAATTTGTCATAATAAAATCTACATTTTATGCATTCTGTTGGAAAACAAAGAAAGAAAATGAAACAAATGTCCTGCAAATATGTGTATTGCCTACCGTCAGATCAGATCTGAAGAGGAGACAAAGCCAGGCTGTGTGTGCATGTGTGTTTAAGGAAAGTCTAGAAAACCCACACCCATAATATCTTTATAACTTGAGTTAATTTGCCAAGGTCCTTGTTCTTACCTATTGCTAGCTTGCTGATAGAAGTGTGGAACTCCTGGTGGTTTCAAAAGGAATGTGGACATGGATCAGCTCTGTGGGATGCAAATAAGTTCAGCTTTTTAGACATACTTTCTGGCAGTTATTTTTAGCTCTTAGAATAGTCCAGTGTAACTGTAAGGTATTAAATGCATCTTCTCCAGCAAATAATTCAAGATTTTTGTTTTGTTTCTTTTTTTTTCCATATAGAAGATAGAATATGTCACATAGTACCTCTAAAATGAAAGAACCCCTACTCATTTCAAGTTTAATATAGCTAAGTACATTCGGTGTTATCTTAAATTACAAATAAAAAGTATAGTTCCCAAAGACTTGATCAGAATGAGCCACACAGAGAATTTGGAGGAAGTGGGGAACTTAGAGTTACATGCCTGATTGTAGCCAAGCTAGATAGTTTAGATTAGGCTCTAAATTTCCAGTTGTATTTCTGTTGATAAAAGTCACTTAAAAACTACCCTTTTTCATGTCGATGCTAATATATATGCTCCAAAAATAGAG